GGAAACTTGATTTCGTGGAAGAGTAAGAAACAAAATGTCGTATCTCGATCTAGTGCGGAAGCAGAATACAGAGCTATGGCACAATCTGTGTGTGAGGTTGTATGGGTACATCAACTATTAAGTGAAGTTGGCTTCCAAACTACATTGCCAGCAAAGTTGTGGTGTGATAATCAAGCTGCTCTTCATATCTCCTCTAATCCTGTATTTCACGAAAGGACTAAGCACATTGAAATAGATTGTCACTTTGTTCGTGAAAAGATTCAACAAAAGCTCATCTCTACAGGTCATGTTAGAACTGGAGATCAATTGGGAGACATTTTCACAAAAGCTTTGAATGGAGCTCGAGTTGAATATATCTGTAACAAGTTGGGCATGATCAATATATATGCTCCAACTTGAGGGGGAGTGTTGACATACAAGTTGTCTAGCACATGTATACACATGTACTACATCATAGCTAGCACATGTATATGAGTTGTATAGTAGGTGTAATACAAGTTGTGTAGCACATGTATACACATGTACTACATCATAGCTAGCACATGTGTATGAGTTGTATAGTAGGTGTAATTAGGTGTATGGCAACTAATAGATTAGGTGAATTAGTATTATAAATAGGCCTTGTAATCTTCTCTTCTAGATATGAAATATAGAACTTCTTTAGTTTCTAACAGTTAGCTTATACGTCATTAAGATTGAGCCAAAAAATGGAAACTTTACGGTCAATTAGTATTCCAAAATATTCATCCATGCCCCAGTTTTCTCCCTTCCAAATAACTCCTTGTAACATGACTTTCCAATGAATGATTTTGCTTTGGACCCACCATACTATCTTGTCTGATCCATCTCCTTATACTAAGCAGTCATAGAATTTCCTTAGGAACTCCTCAACCCCATCCTAGTCCGAATACTTTGTTGCCAACCTGAAGCTTATATCCAACTTGATCCACCAGCCATTCCTTCTTAAATAATCACCAATCATATTCTCTCTTTACCCGTTCACTGTACCAAACAACTGTTGATATGCATCCTTTAAAGTTGTTCGATCACACAACGGATCCTTCCAAAAGTGAATCCTATCTCCATACATGACAGTATAACCTATGTACTTAGTGAACCTATCCAGCTATCCTCCCCTTCATGTTCTCCTTCCTTAAGGCTCACCTCATTAGAGTATGTCATCTCATCTGAGATTGCTTAAAGCTTCATATTCAACACTTAAGACAAAAAAAGAAAAGAAGCTTCATATCCTGTGACTATTGTCCTTCTCCATAACATATTCTCCTCCACTGTAGTTTGTCCAATTGTGCCATGTTAAAGGTTTGGCAATCTTCGGATCTCTAACACCCCCCATGCCCCTCCCCCATTAGGTGAGGGCTTTGGTCTTTCTGAATCTTTCAAATGATATTTCTCTTCGTCCTCCTTTCCTTCCCACAAAGTTGTTCTTCTTTTTCTCCAATCTGGTTGCAGTACTTTAGGGCATAGTAAAAAATAGAATGGACATCTTGTACTTTTAACATTTTAGCAAAGTCATGACAGTGGTATAGTGGTATAAGTTTGGATGACCATAGTTGGTTACAAAAGAGCATTTTGTGCCTGAGTTTCGAAGATGACAAAAGCGTAGAATGGTTTTCTCTTGGAAGATTCTTTGACTATGTCTCTTAAACTTCTAATGTTGAACCTTGCGTTCTTGGCTCAAGAGCATCCTGTCATATACCCGGTAATAAATCCTTTTTCATGACTCTTTCTTATTCTCAATCTCTTCCAACATTCACATTGACAAATTGGTCCCAGACCATGGCAATCGGAGTAGGTCAAGCTTCTTCCCTTCTTTGACCTCAAATTTAGTTGTATAATTTTTAGGAGTCCCTTTAGTCTCATATCAATGAGCTGTTTTTCCAAATGTATAACTTATTTGTGACTTCAATCACTTTGTTTCCAAACATGATCAACAATATGCGGCAGATAATTTGTAGCTGATGTGTATCAAATGGACTTTATCATCTCAAATTTTTGAAATAACCACAGCTTGTTCCTTTTCCGCGAGTTTCTCCATATACTGTTGCAATATCCTAATCTATCTGAATTTCAAAAGAATAATACCTGATTTGTCTCACTTGTCTATCTTAGAATGTTAGTCATGGCAACTTTGTAACATGCCGTTCTTCCTTCACCAGTCATCTTCATAATCAGCAAGAATCCCCTTTCTCTTTAGTCTATTCACATGTTTGGGTCCTAACTGAATCAGCTCAACCTTGAGTATCTTTTTATGTTTTAAAATTTGATTTTTATGTTGTTCAACTTAATTAAACAATAATCTGAGGTCTTCCCTGTTAAATTGTTATATGAGGAAAGGGAGCAATTGAAGCTACAGATCATCATGCTTTTAAGCAATTTGGATCACCCACACTGTGGTGAAATTGTACCTTAATTTATCTTCCAGTATTTTACTCTACCTGTTTGTGTTTTTATGTGAGTATGGGGAATCGGTGCCTCTTTGTGCATTTTATCCTGAATGTCTCATGAAGCTTTTATTGTTTCTTGCAGGCAGCTTTGTATCAGACCGAGTTTCGGCCTGTTCCACTGGAAGAATATATAAAAGTAGGTAGCACAATTTATAACCGAAAAATGGACATTGTCAGGACAGTCTCAAAAGCAGCTGAGCTTAGTGGTAAAGATCCAGATCACATTGTGGAGCTCTGCAATGAGGTATAATTTCTCTATTACTTTTGTTAGTAGAACTTTATTTTGTTGAAAAAAGTAATAGAAGGAAAACTATATCAATCTGAGATTTATCAGGTTGTCCAAGAAGGCCACTCAGTGCTAATTTTCTGCTCAAGTCGCAAAGGATGTGAATCTACTGCTAAGCATGTGGCGAAGTATCTCAAAAGATTTTCCTTGAATCACTTGAGCGACCAAAATGAGTCAATTGATATTACATCTGCTATTGATGCTTTGCGAAGATCTCCAGCGGGATTGGATCCTGTACTGGAAGAGACTCTTCCTGCTGGTGTCGCCTATCACCATGCTGGACTCACAGTAATGTCATTTTAAAGTATTGTGTATCTTTTGTTTCTTTAATACGTATGTTGATTCTTACGTGTTTTCTTTAGTTCTCTTGATATTCCTGTTTTACTTCGTTGGTGGTTTTTTTTCCCCATTATTTTGGAGTAAATCTCCATTCATCTGAGGGTTTTTTCTGCCATGAAGGTTGAGGAAAGAGAAACGGTTGAAACCTGTTACCGCAGAGGACTTGTACATGTCTTAGCAGCTACATCAACCTTAGCTGCAGGGGTTAACCTCCCTGCTCGGAGAGTCATCTTCCGACAACCGCGTATTGGTCGTGACTTTATTGATGGCACAAGGTACCAACAGATGGCTGGTCGGGCTGGTCGGACGGGTATAGATACAAAAGGAGAGAGTGTACGTTTTGACCCTTTCCTATTCTTTTCTTTTTCTTGCTCATTCCGAGCTTTCATACTTGGAGAGGAAAATGAATTTCAGTCACAATTTGTAATTTGTAGGTCTGATTTGCGAGCTATTCTCAGTAACATGCTAGTTAATTACAATTTTGAACTTGATTACACCTGTTAGACTCTTCTCATATGTTTCTCTTTTTCTGTCTGTATTTGCGTTGTTTTCCTTTCTATTTAAGTCTTCACTGCGGCTTAAAATGTGCTATATTAAGCTTAATGTTGTTTTATTGTTTTATTACATCAGGTGCTGATTTGCAAGCCAGAAGAGGTCAAACGGATAATGGCACTTCTTAATGAGAGCTCTCCGCCGTTGCATTCTTGTTTATCGGAAGATAAGAATGGGATGATCCACGCCATATTAGAAGTTGTTGCAGGTGGTATTGTTCAAACAGCTAGTGATATTAACCGGTATGTTAGGTGTACCCTTCTCAATTCAACAAAACCATTTGATGATGTGGTTAAATCAGCACAAGATTCTCTTCGCTGGTTATGCCATAAAAAATTTCTTGAATGGAGTGAAGATACCAAGTTATACACAGTCACACCTCTTGGTCGTGCATCTTTTGGCAGTTCTCTTTCCCCTGAAGAATCACTGGTAACATCTGAAGCTGTTTCCACTTGCTATCACTTTATTATATTATTTCTTGTTAATTTGTTCTTCTACCCGAATGGTCAGTGTTTACAGTTATGCAATTTGAGTGGATTTCAAATATTGGGATGGGAATCCAATAATGCTCGTTCTCTTGTTTTCTAGGTTGTCTTGGATGATTTGATTAGAGCGAGGGAAGGGTTTGTGCTTGCATCTGATCTGCATGTTGTTTACTTAGTGACACCCATTAATGTTGATGTTGAGCCTGATTGGGAACTGTACTACCAGAGGTTTATGGAGTTGTCTGCCCTGGATCAGGTAACTGAACTGTAGAGTTTTGCTGCATAATCATCAGTTCATTTCTAAACCATTGTCATAATCCCATGATTTTTTTCTTTTTTTGTTGGGGGAGGGGTTTTTGTGTTTTTATTTCCCAAGTTGTTCTATGCTCTGTCCTCCTGTCTTCTCTGTGAGATTGCCCCATGCCCATCTTGTTGTATTTGCTTGATTGAACCTTACATGCTGCTAGATTATCCTTCACTTGCTTATTGTTCAGGACTTGAACTTGGTTTTGCCACGCCTTTCACTCATTTGATGTATTTCCCAATAGACAAATAATATGACCATTAGGCTTCAAGTATTACCCAAGGCAGGACTTCAACTGCTCTGAAATTATTCAGCTCCTGTCAATTATCTAAAAAATATTCATCTTCTGCCTTGACAAATAAGTTTGGATGGGTTGAGCTTTTTCTAACATTTGTCAGCTTTGCAAGGAAAACATGCTAATGGTTCATGAGCTATGTTTTGTATAGTTGAAAAAGAGTTCTTGTGTACATGCAAGGTACTGTAGTTTGGAGCTAATTTCACGTTCTCTGACACAGGAAGTGTATGACTCCTTAATGTTAACCGCATAACATAAGTTCTTTCTCTTCAAGGATTTGTAGCTGAAGTATCTTGCATAGTCAACTAGGATCTAGGATGCCAGGTTAACTGGTAAATTATGGAGTTTTTGTTTTCTTCCTCTACCCTAAGTATCTTATTACATCAAGAGTTACAGGAAAAAAACGTTCTTCAGCAGGAACAGGTATTTTAATGATTGGTCACTTGGTTTTAAGTTCTCAACAGTCGATGCTAATTGAATACTTTAGTTTGAAGGTTTAATCATTTAATGTTCAAACTTCAAAGTGATTTTAATGCTTCCAGACTGCTTCTGTGTGTTTGAGGTCATAAGTGTGTGCTTGGTTGCTAATTTGATAATTGTCTGACATTATTTCAGAGATAAGTTTGTTCCTACAATCATGATGGTTGTGATGGAGATAATTGTTGGCTGTGTGTTTTGATGTGCAGTCAGTTGGTAATCGGGTTGGAGTTCAAGAACCCTTTTTGATGCGAATGGCTCATGGTGCACCAGTTCGTACATCGTATAGGTCAAAAGCTGGTACTAAAGGGTTGCAGGGGAAGTTTGATAACCGATCTCTGAATGACCATATGCTTTCAGATGAGCACATGCTTCGCATTTGTAGGAGATTCTTTGTGGCTCTTATACTGTCGAGGCTTGTGCAGGTAAAATCTGTGAAAGGAATATCAAACACTGCTGTATCTCTGTCTGCCACTTCTTCTTCATGGAATTCATAGTTTCAATATACGACACACTTATATGCTTTATTGCGAATACCTGCTGTTAGAATAGTACTCCCTCTATCCCAAATTTTGTGAAACACTTTCCTTTTTAGTTTGTCCTAAAAAGAATGTCACATTTCTATTTTTAGAAATAGGCAGAATACATCTACAACTCCTTAAAGTTGTCCACACATTTCACTTTGACACTCTATCTTAAGTCTCTTCCATTTGAACACTTTAACCACATCTCAAATATGCCATTTAGACACAACTTTGATAGGTTGCTAAACACAAAAGATGCGTGTAATTCACACGCCAGAGTACGAATAAGACGGCGACACGTGTATTTAACTTTAAATAAATTTAAAAAAAGCTTTTGAAATATTTTTTAGAAGAAAAACAAAAACCCCCACCCCACCCCACCCCTCATCTTCCCTGAACCCCCATCCCCGCTCTTCTTCTGCCTAAAGAAAAGAACAAAGGTACCATGTTCATCGGTCTTGGTTAAAACCTACTCAAAATCTGTTGGTGCTTTTTGAAGAACTAGGGGAGATCCCACAAGAATTTCTCTTGTGAAGACAACATTCAGCAGCATTTGTGCGGATGTTGTTGAATATCATCCGGACATTAAAAATTGGCAAATTGAGAACTATGGCAGAACGGAAGAGTTTCACCTACCTAAAGTCCATATTCCCACGTTCTTCTTCCTTCTAATCTTCACACCCAGCCCTGCCACCATTCTTCTCCCTAGACTCACCTCTGCAACCATTCTTCTTCCGCCTAATCTTCACACCCAACCCTCTACAACATTAAGAACAAGCATAACACATAGAAATCAACTAATAATTTTTCTATCATGGTAGATTCACCCCAGATTGCCGGAAAACCGATCCACCAGCAACAAATTTCACCCTTGCCATCGGAGATCTTCTGGAATCGAGCAATATACACCAAATGTTCTACTTTGTTTCAATCGAGAGCAATCAATGAAAAATCAGATCCCGGGGAGGGAGAAATTTATGTCAATTTTTTTGTGTTGAAAATCCCTTCTTTTAAACTGAGACAGCCCATGGATTAGTGAGATTCCTCAGCCCAAATTTAAAAATGAGGAAAAAGAAAGAAAAAAAATTTAAAAAAGAAAAATTGATTTCTCATGCTTTGAAAAATGGTGTAATACACGCACCATGCCACATCACCAAGTTGCGTCTAAATAACGCATTTGAGATGTGGTTGGAGTGTTCAAATGAAACAGACTTAAGATTGAGTGTCTAACTGAAAAGTGTGGACAACTTTAAGGAGCTGTCGATATATTCTACATTAGAAATAATTTAACTTAAAATTTCCATTTTGCCCTTAGTGAGATGATTTATAGCTGTACAAATGTCTAAGGCTTGTTGTAGACCGTATGGTGCAAAAGTCTTCCTTCTTTTCTTAAACTCCATGCCAAGTCAAATGGTGCCACATAAATTGGGACAGAGGGAGTAAGTTTTAGTGTTAGAATGTTAGAGGAGTTGTGTTCTTATGTGAGAGTCCCGCATTGGATAATCGTCCTATGTGTCTTGTATTTAACACCTAGAAAGAGGTGTGCCTTGTGTTCCTCAAATCATCTAATCTTCAATATATATATA